TTTTTATAAATAGTTCTAAACAAAAGCTGTTTAACAAGGTTTTTATTTGGTAAAATTAGGTATCGTGGTTGACTGTTTAATTCCTTAAAAATTATTTTTATTTCAAGCGGCCATGATATACAACGTTATATGCATGTATAGAGATAGTTAAAGTACGTCTTTTTCATTAGCGGCAGACAAAAAACTCAAAAAAGCCTAGGGATAGAAGTAAATCCATAGGTGACTCAATAGACGTCAAATAATAAAATTAATTTAGCATTTCATACAAAGCAATCACGATGTATTAATTATATTAATTATAATCGCACGGAATATTTGGTGATTATTTATTAAATTTTAATTGAACGAAATAAAGAACAACTAGTTTATTAGTATAATATAATGATGATAGACGAGTCGCCAATGTCGGAACTCCAAACAAATGTCAGTACGTTAAAATTAATTCAAGCGCAGCATTTTGACAGAGCAGTGTTTATTTTTAGTTTAGGCTTTGTTATCTATGGTTAGAAGTAAATCCATAGGTGACTCAATAGACGTCAAATAATAAAATTAATTTAGCATTTCATACAAAGCAATCACGATATATTAATTATATTAATTATAATCGCACGGAATATTTAGTGATTATTTATTAAATTTTAATTGAACGAAATAAAGAACAACTAGTTAATTAATATAATATTATGATGATAGAAGAGTCGCCAATGTCGGAACTCCAAACAAATGTCAGTACGTCAAAATTAATGCAAGCGCAGCATTTTGACAGAGCAGTGTTTATTTTTAGTTTAGGATATTTATCGGCATTGTAAGTAAGGGTTTTTTTTTAGTTTTTATCAATAATTTCTAATGCTTTTAGCCAAAATTTTATACCAGATGAGTTATGAGTAAATAAAATAATTCTATTGCTTATCCTATTTATGTTACGCCCTTGAAAAAAAAATTGTATATGTTATTTGGAGTTGAAGCTCTTTTTGTGCTTCGTACAGTTGCCTGCCTCAGCTACGCTTCGGCCGTCAATTTTTGTACTCACCACAAAAAGAGTCACTTCTACTCCTTATGACATAATCTACTATTTTTATTCAAAAAGACTACTACCCTGGCGAAAATAAAGCGTGAACGAAAAGTGTGCAATAAGTGTGTATTTAGAGTGCAAGTCTTTATAACAATGCGCATAGACGCTATTTTGTGGTAATGTCACACTTTTTGAAATAATTTAGTTTTTTCACTCTTTATGCACATTGACATCACGCTTTTTATTTGTCACTTGTCACGCTTATAAGCTTATATAAATATTAAATTATTTTTTTGCACAGTTTTAGTACATTGTTTAAAGACAATTTTGCAAAGCTTCAGTCTATCTTACGCATGTCACATTTTATACACACTGTTAGGACGTTTTATTATTTCTCAATTATCACGCTTATATTACACCTTTTTATAGCACATTTTTTGTACAGTTTTAGCGATCACTCAACTGTTTAAGCACATTTTAGATATAACTCGCTTGTGTTGTGGTAAAACATTTATTTAAAAGATGAGGTAGATTACATCTTATGTATCGCTTCTCGGCAATCTCCGTCGTGGAGTTGACAGTTCCGGTATTTTTCTTAATAAAATACATGACAGGAATGTAAAACCTACATTGTGGGTATTTTTTTTTTAATTTTTTGAAAAGAACCTTTTCATTAGGTTAGTATTAATATTATTATTAGGATCACCAAAAAACAACAGAAGGTGGCAAGAAACAGTGTGCAATATCAAAAGGAGTTCCCTTTAGAATATTGTCCAGTGATTATTCACACTTGTAAATTTTTGGTTTTGCACATTGTTTCATGTTCCATTTCCCACCCTCTGCACATTGTTCTCAAATAATTTTGCAAACTTTTTGCACATTTAATTTTTTCCAGGGTAGTACTAAATAAATTTTTAAGGAATTAAACAGACACGATACCTAATTTTGCCAAATAAAAACCTTGTTAAACAACTTTTGTTTAGAACTATTTATAAATATTCGACATTAGTAATACAATAGAACAATAATATTTTGTAAATAAAAACTTGCAACTGTCCCATCCGTTACGCGTGGAATGGAATATCTTTTTTAATTGAACCCGGACAACATTCGTGGTATTCAAACAACGTTTTATAAATTATAACGGTGTAATGTGAATAATAAACTAGGTTTTAAATTCGCAGTTCGCAGGGCTCATACGCATGCGCAAATTTTGCAAATATCACAGGTCTACATGATATCACTGTGATGAAGCATGTGTATGCACTCAGGATATCACAGCGTTGTGATATCATCATGACTTCACCAGGAAATCCCGATTGTTGTCCGGGATGTTGTTCTGCAGTGCAAAGGATAACAATTCATTACTTTTTTTTAACATAAAATCGTAACTGATTGTTTTATTAGATAAAGGTAAGCCCCAGAAATCATTTAGATTACATTCGATTTATTTTATTTTGTTAAAAAGGTAATAAACATGGATAGAGGAAAGAGAATTTTAAACTTGGCTTTGTTGAATTTAAAGAAGTCTGGGGATAGTAGTAATGAAAGCAGAAATCATGAACAACAAGTGGAAGTTTACATTAATTTAAATCACCAATTTTCTGAGGATGACGAAGATGATGTTAAAGATGTCGACTTTATTCCTTAGGATGAAAATGTTGAGAGCGAAAGCGAGACTGAGCCTAAACTAGTAACAAATGAAGGAAATATAATAAATTTCATTAACTATTTTAGAAGTCATTATGCAAGGTGTATTTGTTAAGTCTACTGGTTTGCGTTTGACCAAAAAAGGTAAAATCAGAAAGTGAAACCGCATAAGACATCGTTGGCTCAAAGAAAACGAATTAAATTGGCAAACAAGGTGTCAAAACTAGGGAAAAGAAAATTGCAATGAAAAATGTCCTAAGAGGTGTTGGGAAAATATCACTGCAAATAGGCAAGCTGATATTAATAATTAATATTGGTCAATGGTTCCACAAGAAAGAAAAGCTTTCATATATAACAATACGACAAGAAATTCAGTCAAAAGACGAACTGTAATATTAACAGCTAAGGGATTAAAAGAAATTATTTTGTGAAGTATTTTTACACAACGGTAGGCGGATAAAGGCTACTACCATAAAAACGACCGCCTCCTTCAAAATATACTGAATACCGTGCCATCTTTAATATCACCTAAAGTGGACAATCGTGGAAAGAAGGCAAAGAAGAATAAATTTAATGAGAAGTTAATAGAGGATCATATAGAATCAGATAACCCACAAATTTCGCACTATAGGAGGGAACACACCTCATTACGACGTTATCTGCCAAGTGATATTACCATAAGAAGAATGCATAAGGAGTTTAACGAAATATACTTAACAAATATTTCTTATGAGCAGTACCGACGAGTAGTGTCCAAAAAATATTTCATTTGCTGTATTAGGAAATGAAGAATGTTCTACCAGAAGGATCATGAAGAAAAAGAGGGACTTTATTTTTCCGCAGATCTTCAGAAGGTAAGAGCATTGTAAAGTAGGTGTATATCTATTTAATATTGATTTTTAGGTGATAATTTTGCCAAGGTGCAACATGTTTAAGGACGTAATATTCGTTCCTCGTGTTATCGTATTTAATTAAACTGGGCCCTTTTATCATTTTTTATTTATATTATTAACAGCGATCTTATAAATTTAAAAACATTAACCATTAAATTATTTTCAACCGGGCCACACATTTAGGTCAAGTGATCCTTTTTATCACTAATTAGAGCTTTGCTTAAAAATAATAAAGAAAGTTTACGACTTCACTGATTTCAAGGAGTGCTACTTTCTAATTCGATTTTTAAGTTTAGTTTTACGTAGATTTGTTTTTGTATTTGTATCTTATTTAATAATAAACTGTTTTTTTCTAGATACGACTATTAATTTTTCTATATTTAAAAAATATTTTAACAAAAAAGTCGTAACTGCCTTATACAGGGTGGTCCAGTTTTAGATACATTAATTTTAGGAGGTGATAGAGAATCAAAAATGAAGGGGACTTTCCTAATAAAATTAGGAATATATTTTCAATATATTTTCTAGATCATGCTCTATGCGTTACAAGGTAGCAGGTTTTTTATTGCTTTTATCGGACTTAATGACTAAAATGTTTTGGTCCTCCAAGAGGCAGCAGTATGAGACGTTCTCTAAAATGTGTTATACTAATAATCATTTTTTATGCATTTAAATAATAGACGTTATCCGATATTTTCCTTTATACAATAATTATAATTAATAACACATTAATTATTATAGTAACAAAAAGTCCACGTAAATATCTTAAACAAAAATTGATAGGTATGCACTGATTCAACTTTTTATTCTAAGCAACATTTCCTTATTTAATAGTCCAATATTATTTTTTCAGAAAGCAGAACTTTTTATAAAAAAAGCTTTTTTCGTAAACTTATTAATACAAGTTTCCCATATGTAGACGACTGTATATAGGAGTAATATTTATAGAAAACATGCTGTTAATTAAAAATATTCACATTTACGTGAAAAAGTACCTAGTCTTTGTCCATTTTCCAATTATTGATCCATATTAAAGTTTTAGTTCCAAGTATTAAATATTCAGAATAAAATTAATATTTATTATTAAGCAGGCTGTGGTTTTTACTCGCGTCAAATAACCGCATGAAATAATTACATATATTCTGCTATATTTTATCAAAAATTCTATTTTAAATTAAAATACTGCGGCGTAATGTTTCTCCAATGTTGAATTCTTGGTTACATTTAAAAAATGAAAAAAGTAATAATTCAAAAATTTATTCAGTAAAAAGCAATTTATTAATTTTACAATATAAATATTTAATATATGATTTAGTAAATATTAAAATTCAATGTATAATTTAGTAAAGATTGTATGATTAACTATATAGTCATAATGAATTTATAGAAACAATTAACATTACATAAATCTTAAAATTTTTTTGAAATAAGTGTCTTGATGTATGCTAAATATTCCCTGGCTTCATGTTATATAAAAAGTTGGGTAATTTTGGTATTGTTGAATAACTAAAATCGTCCTGTACGCTTGATCTATTCATGTTAGGTTCGGAATGGGATCGGTTTATTTTCGGATGACTGTTCAAAAAATTTTCTATAGTTGCTAAGATTGGTTTAAATAGAGGCCTATCTGTTGGGCTAAACTTGATGCAGTCAATTAATAGTCTCTTTATTACTTTCGGGGTATCTGTCCTTAACTTGGACAAATCGGGTTTTAAATATCCCCTGCCAACCATGTACAATATTTGATCTTTATTATTTATTTGCGAGTAAGGCAGTTGTCCTGTCAGTAGTTCAAACGAGACTATTCCATAGGCGTACACGTCCGATTGAAAACTGTACGGGTTTTCCTCTTGCATCCTGATTACTTCAGGCGCCATCCACAATATCGAGCCTGTGGGTTGTTGAAATTGCTGGCTTCCAGAGTACCTTGTTTTGGCTGTAGCCAATCCGAAATCTCCAATTTTAACTGTCAAGTCATCGTGTAAAAATATATTGTTACTTTTCAAATCCCTGTGAATAATGTTCTTAGCATGTAAATAATCCATTCCTTGGGCAATCTGCCGTGTAATTTCAATCAGAGTAAAAATTGTAAATTTCGTTTCGTGGACATGTAAATGTTTGTACAAACTTGAACTCTCGCACCACTGCGTTACGATTGCCAGTTTCGGTTTACTAACACAGCCCATAAAAAGAAGAATATTAACGTGTCGGGTTTTTCTCAGGACGGCTACTTCGTTTTTAAAGGCTTGCAGCTGAGCTACAGTGGGTATCTTAACGTTTAAAGTTTTAACAGCCACGGGACCGTGCCAATGGGCTTGATACACTGTTCCGAAAGATCCAGACCCGATTCTAGGGCCCACCATTATCTCGTCTGCAGGTATTTCCCAGTCTTCGATGCTTTCCCTTGGCGTCAAAAGCGGTCTCGTCTCGTCTGCAGACCTCGCTCTTGGTCTTTTAGGATGTGCAGAGCTTGTTGGCGACAATTGGTTCCTATTATGCGTAATTTGCATGTGCTCAAAGTCTAAACGCATTGGTAGATTCGGCTTCATTCTATCGTCTCCGATTTGTTTAATGTTTACGTTATTTAGGCAAACGTTCGGGGCCGAATTCGAGCGATCTCCGTGTCCCAAAGTGCCGTGAGCGCGAAATTGTTCGTCGTCTTGTGGGGCTTTCGTGTTTGCCCTGCCTACATTAAGAATACCAGCTGAATCGCCTCTTTCGCATAATAGTCGCTTGTAGAAGGTCCACGCCAAATGGTCCTAAATAAAAATAAGCAAAATAAAAATAAAATTGCAAATTAAAATTTAATAGATAGGCTTGAAATATAAAACAAAATTGTGAATATTTAAATCTGTAAAAATATATTTATTAATATATATATCAATATCATGTATTTATTTGTATGCCGTTTTATAAAAAAGTTTACTATTATTTTTCAATTACTCTGTGCAAAAAAAAATATCTGGGTTGGAACCAGGAAAAATGGATTCGGTATTACAAAAAAATGAATACATACGTGTTTTTCGAGATTCTTATTTTAATATTTTAATTTTTTTAAATTATTTATTTAAATCTAATTTAAAAAAACGTGGAAATTGATTTTTTTCTGCCAAGTTGTGAAAAGAAGGTACATTTTTTTATTTACTTTTTTATATTTTTAAAAAATTAATTTAAAAACTAAAGCCAATAGAAAAAAATCCCGAAACATGTTCATTGTTTTGTAATACTGATTTTTTCTGGTCCCAACTATTTTTTGTCATCAAATTTTGTTAAACACAAGTTTCTTGTTTGTTTCTCAGAATACTACACAAGCTATAAATTTTTGATTTTAAACTAAAATTCCTTTGTTTAAATCAAAATAAATGTTAGTCTTTAGAAACTTATTTATGAAAGACGTCGCGCCAAATCAAAAAAACCTGGCCATGTTTAGGTATTGTTATTTAAACAAAATTGATAGGTCTTGCTTTTAAAGTTACTGATTTCGAATTCGAACTTAAAAATTTAAAAAAACAGAATGGCGGACCCAATTTGACAAAAAGTCTGGCCAATTTTTTTAGATATTGTTGTTTTTAACAAAATTAATAGGTCATAGGTTATATCAAGGTTGCTAATTACAAATTTGATCTCAAATTTTTTTGAAACAAAATTTCCGATCCAATATGGCGAAAAATAAAATCCGGGCCAATTTGATCTCAAAATTTTCAAAAATAAAATGGCGGATCTATCAAAGGTATTGTGTTGCAACAATATTTACTATGCAAGTGGTTTTTGGGTAATTGATTCATGATCTATAATTTTTGGTTACGTTTCTTTGACTAGCATATGCATACATCGGTTTTTGGCATAGACATTAAATATTAAGAAGCGACCAATTATAAATACCACAAAATAAATTTAGTTACCTACTTAATTATTTTATACCTTTTAGTGCGTTTTTGGTTTTTTAAGCTATTATTTATTTTTTACTTTTTAGTCTTAAACTTTAGTTAGTTAGCTAGTAAATCCGTCATATTGAAATTAGAATGGCATCACGAATTTTGCTTGAAAAATCCTTTCATATCCATTTCAAGGAGGTTGTAAGGAGGTAATCCGCCATCTTGGGGCGGTGGCCATTTAGAATAAATCACAATTTTGAGTATACTTACTAGATTGTTTTGTCACTAAAATCAAAGATGTGTGCGAAATTTCAGATCAATCGGTTTGGTGGAAATCGAATCTCCAGATTAGTGGACATAGTTACGAGGGAAGCCAATATAAAGCGTGAAGAAATGGGACAAAATTTGTATAGGCACCTGATTTCTTTATAGATCGATTCGTTTTGCCAACAATCTCTGCGAGAACTTAATACAGAACATTAAAAAACAATGTATTTTTATGCTGTTTAAAAATAATTTGTTTGGTAGTTATTAAATAGATTGTGGATGTTGTTTATAGGTACGGTATTTATTGTTAAAAGCGAAAATAAAAAATGAGTCTATCATAATGTTTTTGGTTTCTATATACGCTTACAAAACTTTATCCCGATTTTTAAAGGATTTCTTCATAGATCGATTCGTTTTTGTTTTGCCAACAATCTCTGCGAGAGCTTAATACAGAACATTAAAAAACAATGTATTTTTATACTGTTTAAAAATAATTTGTCTGGTAATTATTAAATATAATTTGGATGTTGTTTATAGGTCATCAAAGGTATTCCTTTGCAACGATATTTACTTTGCAAGTGATTTTTGTGTCATTGATTCATGATCTATAATTTTTGGTTACGTTTCTTTGAGTAGCATGTACTTGGTTTTTTGTCATAGTCATTAAATATTGACAAGTTATAAATACCACAAAATATTTTTTCCACAACCAAGCGATAAGTACAAATTTGCGCTTCCAAAAGAAAGCTCAAAGTTGCTCTTTTCCGGGGAGCGAGCTTTTTTTTTACTTTGTCGCTCGCTTAGTTACCATGGAAACCATAATAAAGAAACGTTTAGTGTATTTGCGACTTTTGACACAAACGTTGATCAAATTTGAGTTTATCAATAATTATTAATTTTTACCATTTTAAGATTCTTATAGACTTCTCGCTCAGAGCGGCAATGAATCACTTTGCGCTCTTAATACACAAATAGCTATTTAGTTAATTGCATTATTTTATACTTTTTAGTATGTTTTTTTTTAACACGGAAAAAACTAAATGTCAATATTTAGTAGGATGTGAGTCCACGCCAAATCGGCCAAGAGTAAGACTTCATGTTTCCGATTCGCTTCCAATTTTCAGAACTAAAGTAATGGAGAAATCTAAAATTTCAACCTCTTTTATGCATTTTTGTAGGTTTTACATAATAAATAAAAAAATGTCACTTCTCTTATTTTTCGATTATTTAAAAACCCGAAGACAAAAAATTTCGGAAAAAATCATATAAACATATTTTTGTCGCTCTTTAAGACAAAATAAAAAAATTTTGTTAAAAAATTCTCAAAAAAAATCTAATTTTTTTTTTCAAATTTAAATTCCCAAAAAATGCCACCTCAAATTTAAAAAAAAATCATCATGATGATTGAATTTGATGACAAAAAATAGTTGGGACCAGAAAAAATCAGTATTACAAAACAATGAACATGTTTCGGGATTTTTTTCTATTGGCTTTAGTTTTTAAATTATTTTTTTAAAAATATAAAAAAAAGTAATTAAAAAAATGTACCTTCTTTTCACAACATAGTTTTTGGAAAAAAAAGTTGGAGTGAAATTTAAAAAAAATGGCCGATGACGTCATAGCTTCTACAAAAATGGGCCCAAATGCGCCAAAAAAAGTGACTTCTCTTATATTTTTTATTACACCCCCTCATTTGGTAGTAAGAAGAATGCAAGTTGGAAAATCGAAATTAAAAAAAAATTAGAGGTCGCTCAAGTCAATTTTAGTTTTTTTTTTTTCGAAAAAAAAACAAAAATATATTATATTATTAAAAATTTAAATTCCCAAAAAACGCCACCTCAAATTTTAAAAAAAATCTCGATGATAGCCCTAAGTTTTCCGCAAATTTTGACTACTTATTTTTGGAGGAACTTTAAAATTGTAGAAGTTATAATTTTTTTTTGTAAAGAAATGCATATGAAATCGTCGCTACAGATCCAAGCCTACGAGTAACTACGCCGTGGCGCGCGGTTCCAAAAGACGTGCGCGCTCTCTCTCTCTCTCTCTCTCTCTCTCTCTCTCTTTCTCTCACACACATTAATATTTTTAAACTATATTTTATTAAAACTCCAAATTATTTCTTTTTCTAATTTATTAAAAAATAAACAAAACAATCAAATTAAAATATCGCCGATGGTTTAGCAATAACTTCTATTCATTATTATTATTATTATTATTTAATATACAGGGTGTTTCATACCAGGAGGCGAAAAATGAAATTCTATATTCAAAACGTCATTCTAAATAAAAATCTTTAATACTTTTTTGTTCTATCATTTTTCGTTTTCGAGTTATTCGAGTTCAAACTTTTGAATTCAAACAATGAAAGGATAACAATATGCAATAATAGGATTCATAATTCTAGCAACCAAAATATACATCCATGGAAACGTATAAGTATTTAAGTTTATAATACAGTTCATTTTTTTTATCTGGACTGCGGCAATGTTGCAAACTTAGGGGTTTAGTTGGCAAAAATTTCTATTATATTGGCAGCTATAAAATTAAATTAATATTTGTGGTTAATAAATCAAAAAATATTTACCTTTTAATAGGTTTTTGACCTAAATAGTATTTCGTTATTGTACTGTAGGATAATTATTTGTACAGAGACGTTTTTTAAATCACATAAATATATACATTGGAGTTTGATATTTCTCTGTTTAAATTTAATGATTTGACAAAAACTGTCAAATTATGTAAAACAGAGATACCAATCCTAAAAATACTAATCAAACTGACATAAACAACCAACTTAATAAAAAAACACTAGTCCAGATAAAAAAAATAACCTTATGTGGTCTTCTGCCTTATTTAAGTAATACAACCTGTCAGTTTATTGCTAATATGTCAGCAAGAATTATTGATTGACAATTGAGCAATTTGTAGTTTATACTATTTATTTTTATCTGTAATATTACAGGACATTTTTAAAAACATGGCCTTCAGCATTAATACAAGCTTGGCGCCGCAAAACAACAGGACTTTGTAATGGTCCCGTCCGTTACGCTTTAAATTAATAATTTTTAAGGAATTAAACAGTCAATCACCATACCTAATTTTGCCAAATAAAAACCTTGTTAAACAGCTTTTGTTTAGAACTATTTATAAAAATTTGACATTGGTAATAGAACAATATTATTTTGTAAATAAAAACACGGCAACTGTCCTATCCGTTAAGCGTGGAATGGCCCAAATGCTACAAACGGCTTGCGTATTGTTTATGTTTTACGATCAGGCGGGAGAAAGAAAGAAGGCAATCTATAAATCAGGCTTAAAGATGATTAGCACTAAACAATTAGGTAACGAGAAATCTCATTAACATGGCGTTAACTATACTTTGAAGTTAAATCGTGTAATACGTAAACAATAAAATATAAATTATTTTTTACAAATACAAATAAGATAAAAGAAGTTTTTTTTTAATACAAAATATCTATTTGTTATATCCAAACCATATTAAAGATTTTTTCTCAAAAAAAGTTTTAATTTTGTCTGATATTTCAAGACAAAATTCATTCAGCTCTTTGTTTATGTTTTGCGCACAGTTTTTACGATTGAAATACGTTCTAGGAACGCCTAAGAATAATTTCACATGCACAATACGTCGTGCGCGACAGGCGCTCAATTGTTATAAACAAGAAATTTTTCGTTGATAAAAAATTTTGACATTTTTTTTTTAATTTAAAAAATGAACAATATTTTCGTAAACTATACAGATTCATTAATATTCATATATTATATCACGAGAACTATGAATTTAATCGGTTAAACTAGGCTCAGTAGTTTTTTGTTTGGTTTTTGTTGGAAAATGTTGAATGCAAAATAATTTAATAAAATCACGAGGTGTTTTATTTTTAATTATTTTGCATGAAACTATTTTCCAAAAAGAAAAATCAAATAAAAAACTTACTGAGCATAGTTTGTCAGATTAAATTTATAGGTTGAGTGATACACGTCTAGATTATTTCTCGAATTAAAGGAAACTATTTCACAATTCATAAAATCTGACGTATGTGTCAAAATTTATAAATATTTTTTTAAAGAAAATTCCATTAATTTAAGGTATGTAATAAGTAATAATTGATATTTCGTAAACTAGATAACTTATTTTTTATTGTTTTTTAAAAAATGTTTGTTAAAACTTGTAAATAACACCATAAAATCGTAAACAAAAATCCAATATGGAGGCTAAAATTTAATCGCTGTTAAATAGTTTTAATGATTTAATCGCTTATTTAAACGAAATTTATTCGAAAATTCAAGGCTTTTGATTGGTTCATATTATAATGAGGGAAATAATCGCTGTTAAATAGGTCTAGTGATTTAATCGCTTATTTAAACGAAATTTATTCGAAAATTCAAGGCTTTTGATTGGTTCATATTATAATGAGGGAAATAATCTGTTAAAATTCTATGCAATTTTATTTAAATTTGTCGATTATACACGACTTTGAAGATTTAACAAAATTTTTGTTTTTTTTTTGGAAAAAAACTAAAATCGACTTGAGCGACCTCTAATTTTTTTTTTATTTCGATTTTCCAACTCGCATTCTTCTTTTTATAGAGTAAACTACCAAATGAGGGGGTGTAATAAAAAATATAAGAGAAGTCACTTTTTTGAATCACCCTAATATATATATATATATTTTTGGCGCATTTGGGGCCATTTTTGTGGAAGCAATGACGTCATCGGCCATTTTTTTTAAATTTCACCCCAACTTTTTTTGCAGATTCGAATAGAGTATGCAATTCTAGTTTTATCAATATGCACATGTTGGGCTGATAATTTCGGAGATATTAATTTTTAAAAGTGAAAAGTGAAAACGTTTTTTTATTGATTTTTTGACAAATAAAAAAGTTGTTGTCGCTGAAATGTTTATAAAATCTAGCCTATCCAGTCAATTAAGCAAAGTCTTTGATATTTTATTTTATAACAGGTTGTTTCAATTTTTGGACAGTTATAATATAATTGTCGAAAATCAAAATGGCTTTTGTAGGAAAAAATCCACGCATACTGCTATAGCAGATGCCCCAAAATATATTTATGAAGGTCTTATGGCACTCGCGTGCTTTTGAGGTTTGCCTGCGTTTCCTGGGCCTTCGCGTCAACGCGTTCTTCCTGACGCGACCCCATTTACGAGTTTCAAAGGCGCGCATTTGCTCACCTTCGAACGTCAGCTGGTTCCTCAGTGCTTGTGTTTTGATTTCGTCTGATGTCTCATACTTTGGGAAAATGGACCCATTTTTAATTCATCGAACCGCAATATTAATTTAGCTCGTCTGCTAATTTTACTGAAAAAAAAATACAAGCGTCATCGCCGGTTTGGTGTTCGTCCCCTGTTCCAAAGACGAATCGAACAGGGTGACGGACAACACTTCTCCCACGCAGGCTACGCGGCTGATGCCATTAGCTAGCCATGTCACGTGATATCGGCTTCAACGCGCGCGATCTCTTTACGGCGTAAAGTTTTTTCCCCGTATAAAAACCAAGACGCGTCAAACTGGCTGAGATTTGGCGCACGCGTCCTTTTAACGCACGCGAGGTCACTTATAAACGATCCCATTGCCCACCATGAGTTAAATCAGTCGCGAGCGTTGGCTAGCTCGCGTAAACGCGACCTCCAAACGCACGCGAGTGACTTGTAAACCCGCCATTAATGATATACTACAGGTGGTAGGCTTATATTTTGATCTAAGCCGAGCATTTGATATGGTCAGTCATGAGCTTCTAATCAGAAAGCTTGAATCTGTTGGTGTGCATGGTCCACCACTTAGGTGGGTTTCCTTGTACTTATCAAACCGAAGTCAAATAGTATTTTTAAATAATATACAGTAAAGTAGTAAGAAAGTCTCGCTTGGGGTTCCACAAGGTTCAATTTTGGGACCTTTGTTTTTCATTATATTTATGAATGATATTTCTTCTTTATATAATAATAATCAAAAATTCATATTGTACGCTGATGATACGAATCTACTTCTCAAGCATAAAGAACTGGAATGTTTGTCAAGAAACTTTTCGTTGGTATCAGGTAAATTGAATGCCTGGTGTCAGGGAAACGGACTAATATTAAATGTAAATAAAACAAATTTTATGAAATTTTTTCTAAAAAATGCAAGTATTGATTACAGTCTGTACGTCACTTATAATAAATTATCCATTCCAGCTTGTAATAAATTAAATTTTTAGGCATAACATTGGACCCAAAATTGACCTGGGAGCCTCATATAAATAGTTTGTGTAAACGGTTAAGTTCTGTATGTTAATAATAATGTTAATAATAATAATTTTCTGTGGGGTTTCGGCTCACTTTGATTACCCACCAATAGGTAGTATTGGCAACAGTGTGTTAATTTGTTAATAATTATTCGATAGTTTCAAAGTGTATAATCACAAATTTATTTGTTTTAAATGGTGCATGTGTGGCTTTTGTACATCTATGTCAGCAATTACTAAGAGAACTGTACGTATTCTGTTTATTTAGAACAACTTCTGACCAACATAACCTGAAAACCGTGCTGAAACTGCAAGCCATTGCAGCGCAAAACTAGTTTGCGAGGTTGTTGCTATTCCAATTTCTTCCCAACTGCTGAACAATTTTTAAAAAAAATGCCCCCTACTCAGTTGAAGTGTTCGGTGATGATGGCAAGTTTGTAAATTGTAGTGTCTGCAAAAAGATATTTTGGATTTAACTTTCAATGAAGTAAAATTTATTAAAAATAAAACTAATATTACTTTCACATGTAAAACTTGTTCTAATATTGGAAATAATCTAAATGATCTTAAATCAATAATTATGTCTTTACAAGTCGAAATAGAAAAATTAAAATCAATTAACGCTAACCCCTCAAAAAATGAATTTGAAGATGTTATTCAGGAGCTTTCCGAAAGAAACCGTCGTAAGCGTAATCTTATTTTCTATGGCATTAAAGAAAGTAATAATTCCTCTAAACAGGAAAGGATTGCCATTGATATCAGAGAAATTATAAATGTTACAAACTCTTTTAATCACAACTTTGCTATTAACGATATCATTCCAATTCGTTTAGGCAAATTTGATGCAACTAAAGAAAGACCATGACATGATATTATTCACAAGGCAAAAAACTTAAAGACTAGTGATTCCTTTTCTCATATATCTATTTTTTTGGACAGAACTCCAAAGCAGATAGAATATTTTAATAAAATTAAAAATGAGCTCAGTACTACAACTGATAATGGTGAACAAAACTTAAAAATTAAGTATGTCCGAGGCATACCTAAAATAGTTTCGGAAAACTGATTGCCCAACAGAAATAATTTTTATTTAAGTTATTTTCAAAATGTTAGAGGACTAAATATTAAAGTTGCTGAAATTTTCCCATCTATTTGTGCGGCAGACTACGACTGCATTGCGTTGGTGGAAACGTGGCTGAATGCAGATGTGCAATCATCAGAGTTTTTTCCAAGTGAATATTATGTTATTCGGAATGACCGCAATTTTTACAAACCAATCTATCTAAAGGTGGTGGAGTTTCATTAGGTTTTAAAAATTCATATTCGGTTACTAATCTTGATTTATCATTTATTACTAACTTAGTTCCTACTATTGATATTTTAGGTTGTACATGTATTCTTAATCACACAAGTATTTTTATTTACGTATATATTCCATCAAATGTTCACTTAATTGATTTTGAATTATTTTTTGAAAATTTTGAACGTTTCACTATAAATCAAAGCAATGTACTTATTTTGGGTGACTTCAATATTGCAAACTTTAATAACGTAAATATAAATTATAGCAAATGTCAAGTAATGCAAAATTTCTTATATTTTACTAACTTAAGGCAAATAAACAATATAGTTAATCATCAGCAAAAGTTACTTGATCTTATAATCACAAATATAAAGGCTGTTTGTAAATGTGAACCTTTTTTATAACAGAGTTTAATTTCATCTTCACTCTTGAACGGCTTCAAAACCAATACATTGAATCCATCTTATAATTTTAAAAAAGCTGATTTTGTATCTTACCACAATTTAACCAATGTTAACTGGTCTTTTTTGAAACATACTACACATAACATTTATATGTTATGTGTAGTATGTATGTTTTACGAAAGATTTTATGATATTCTAGATTTATATGTACCGAAATTTAAACACAGATCTAAAAAGTACACCCCTTGGTACTCATTTGAATAATTATTAAACAACAAGTATCGTCCGCATACACAAACTATTTAAAATCTATTGAAAATGATATAATAACAAATCCTAGAAACTTTTGGTCTTTTATTAATTCCAAGCGTGGTAACACAAGAATTCCAAGCCAAATGCATTTAAATGATAATATACTTAGCTCACCTAAGGATATTGGAAATGGTTTTGCAGATTATTTTAAAAGTGTATTTACATCAAATTATATTAATTTTAACGATAAAATTTCGCCTAATCTTTCATTGGTTAATATTAAATGCTTTCATGATAAGGATATTTTAGATTCAATTAAAAGACTTCCAAATAAATTAACCTCAGGTAATGACATGATACCAAGTTTTTTAGTTAAAGATTGTTCCTCTGTCTTAGCTGCCCCTCTAAAAATAATTTTTAATAATATTATTAAACTGGGTGAATTTCCTAAGTGTTAGAAAATAGCGCGTATTTGTCCTGTTCTTAAATCAGATAATCCAGCAAATATAACAAATTATAGACCAATTTCTATTTTATGCAATTTTTCAAAGGTTTTTGAAATGTCAGTGTACTCTGCTCTATATTCTCAAATCAAGCCATTTTTATCTGGTAGTCAACATGGTTTTATCCAAAACAGATCCACTATAACTAATTTGACAGTCATTACTCAATATATTTCAGAATCTATTGATAAAGGTAAACAGGTTGATGTGGTATACACTGACTTTTCAAAGGCCTTTGATAAGATAGATCATCAAATGATTCTAAATAAGTTGAATTTGTTTGGTTTTAGTAACTCAATACTAAAACATTTCATCGTACCTAAGAAATAGAGAGCAATACGTTTCTTATAACGCGAAAGAAATGCATAGGTTTTGGTAGCAAAAAACAATATGCTGAAAGCAATGTGTTGGAAAAAGTATTATATTTGTGGACATTACAAACAAACGGTAAAGTTTTGCGCTTACAACAAATGTCAAAATGCTTGTAGTAGTAAGCATATGAGCTCTTTATGTTTTGCTTTACGGACAAAATCTTTACTTTCTGTGCAAACAGCATTTTGCTTATAGCAAACTGACATTTGCTGGCGTAACAAATGTGCGTTAGTTGAAGATTGTGTTTACAGAACATACTTTTGTATTGATAATACAAAATATAGTTATGTACAGGGTGATCCCCTATAATGTCGCCCCCCTTTAACTTTTTTATTTTAAGTGTCCCAAAAAAATTAAAAGTGTGGTTATGTAGGTACCTACTAAAAATACTTTTTTTCTACGTATAAAGAAAATTGGAAAATTGATCAGTATACAGGAAAAAACAAAAAGTTTATTTTTTTTCAATGGATCACCCTATATATGTATTTATTTTTCTATTCTTTGTAAAATTCTAAGCATATTTCATGTAACATACCATATACCTAAATTTAACCGTTTCTGAAATATTTAAATTAGTAATACTTTTTATATTATTATTATTATAAGATAATAAGTTCAAATAGTTTGTCTTACAAGACACATTGACATAATGTCACTATAGTAATATATTTTCAATAAAAATTTTGGTATACTGAGGCTTCTTGATTTCTAACAGTCTAAAAAAACATTTAATGATAACATTTCGAATGCGAATATTTCAGAAACGAATGAGTTTAGGTATATGGTTTGTTATATGAATTATGCGCAGAATTTTACAAGGAATCGAAAAATAAATTCATATATAGGGTGATCCATTGAAAAAAAAAACTTTTTGGTTTTCCCTGTATAAGTATAGATCAATTTTCCATTTTGCTTTATAAGTAGAAAAAAAGTATTTTTAGTATCTATATAACCACACTTTTAAATTTTTTGGGACACTTAAAATAAAAAATTTAAAGAGGGGTGACATTATAGGGGATCACCCTGTACATAGTTGGTTGCAAAGTATTTAATTTTTTTGAATTATATTTAATTAAGTACCTACCTAACAAGGTAATAGGTAAATACAAGAAGAAATAATTATAAATTAAGTACCGTAAAACGGGGCGATTTCGGACAGCCGGGGCCACTTCGGACATCATTACCTTAAAGCTATTAAAAATTCGCGATTGGGACGTCTGACGTAACAGAGTTCTGTAATTTGGGAAAAAACTTCGTAGAAGATGGCTAAAGCTATGGCAAGAGGCACGTGGGTTCGGTTGTTAAGTGAAGTAAGCTTTTTGCATCGTTTAGTCTGGAGTTCAAACTTTACTTCTTTTATAACTAGGTAAAAGTAACTGGTGCCAGCAATTAAGTATGCACTGTATGATCAAAATAATATAGATTTTCGGTAGTACGTAATTTTTTTGATAAATAATTTTTTTTTGGTTTACGTTCGTATCACATTAACTTTTATACAGGGTTGTAATACAAATATTTGCATTTTATGGGGCGACTTCGGACATGGTTAGGGTCTATAAAAAAATGTTGGAGAGCAATTTTTACAGAAACTATAGAGAGGAAAATTTTTTTTAATATACTTTAGTATTAGGTATAGGAAGAAATATATTTGTTTTATTGTTTTGATCCTCAGAATTCAATTTTATTTTATATTTTGATAAATAAAATGCCCTTTTCCATTTGAATGAGTTTTTAACTAATTTCATGCTTTTTTCCTAATTTTATGCTTTATACTATTTTTTAAAGCAATATTTCTGTCCGAAGTCGCCACTGAATGTGCTAGCTTCGATTATATACATTTTACAACGCTTGTCCGAAATCCCCCCACCTTAAGGGGCGACTTCGGACAGACTTTGACAAAAAAAAAGTAGTATTAGTATTTGTATGACTATTATAATTTTTACGTAAACTTATACCGGAAGGATGCCAAAATCCCCTGTAAAAAAATTAGTTCAAAATAACAAACATTACCGATTCAAAATTTGAAAAAACCTTAAAAATCGTCCGAAGTCACCCCGTTCTACGGTATTTATTGGTTGTTATAATAACAATACGTGACGCATGTATAATATACATTGTATATGCATGTCTATGTTATACTTAAAAATAATTTATTTACAACATCTTAAAGAATTATTAAAAAAATTAATGTCTTTTAAATATTTAATAAAAAAATAAGTACCTATGTTAATGGTCAAAATCAATGTTAATCCCAAATATTTTTTTTAAAAGCTTTTCATTCACATTACCACATCTGGTTTTCATCTAAGAGTAGGTATTGATATTTTCAAGAAGGGCAATAAAACCCCACTTTTACCTAAGATAAGAATTTTTAGGGGCTGCATGGGACCTCGACACATTTGTAAAAACCCAGCATTAAGTTTGTTCACTTATTCATGTACACATGTAACATTTACATTAAATTTATATTTGTGTATTAAACTATGTTTTAATGATATTTCAACACATGTGTTACGCAAAAAAATAACTAACAAAGTAATTATCAAAATTTTTTACCAGCAAAAATATAAATTTAAAAAAGGCAAAACATATACCCGAAGATT